CTGCGGCTGTGCAGAGAGCCAGCGGGCGGCTCGTGCCGAGGCGGCTTGCAGAGCGCGGGTAACACCGACCGCATCTCCTGGGTCTTATGATCCCAAGGACCCCTCGGCCCCCACACCGGCCAGGAATGCAGCCAGCTCTGGGCTGGAGCACAGCAGCTGTCTGACACACAGTGATGGCACAGGGCGGATCAGGACCAGGAGGGAGAACGCTCTAGGCAGCTGACTTCGAATTCTTAGACAACGTCCCCGGACTGGCACGGCGGCGGATTAGTGGCACAGTTGTCAACAGAAGCTGCTGGGGTAGGCGCCAGCAGAGTCCCAGGGAGCTGCGGGAAAGGAGCCCCTCCGGAAACCCGGCTCTCCAGCAGCAGCTGCTCAGTGTTATGGGAATGCCCAGGTGCACCAGTTACCAGCCAGGACCTCAATGCACTGGGTGCTGCAGAAACACAGACCAGAGAGACACTGCCCCAGGCAAAGTGACGCTCATGGCCATGCACCAGCATCAGACTTGGCCTCATTGCTCCTGTGCTTTGGTTCCAGCAGCATGGGTAAGGGCACATGGGCACAGAACAAAATTTATCCCGCACATGGGTGGGGGGAATTAGAAGGACCCTTGCTTCTGGCCAGGGGGTCTCTGTTGCCTCGGCGTCCTCGACCACAGTGGCAAGCAGCCCGCGTGGCAACGTGCCCATCTCAGCTCAGGCATTACGTCCCCCATGCCAGGGCTCAGCCGTGGAAAGTTCAGGGCGCTTCTCTGATCGAGGCTGGTCGGGTTCTGTGCGGGCATGTTCTTCGCTTCTCTTTGTGGGCGATGCAACTGGGGGCCCTTCTGTGCGCCCCGCTCGGAGGACTGGGCGTGGCTGCTCCGCCTGGTGACAGCAGCCCCGGCGGGCGGAGGGCCGTGTTACGATGGAGTCCTGCGGATGGTTCTCCCTGACGGCATGGGCCCCGGTGCCCTCTGTGATGGCGCGTCGGGGTCCCCCGATCCTGCAGCCCCCTAGCAGCAAGAACAGACTCCAGCAGCCAGTAGAACAGGGGGGTTTATTGCTCCTCCAGGATACAGCCCAGCACAGACGTGATGTGCTTACAGGAGTCAGGGCCCGGATGCCTCAGACCCCTTGGAGTAGGGGATCCATCGCCCCCCTCAACCCTCACACCCAGCTTAGTCTGTTCCCTTCGTGTTTTCTAGCCAGAAACTGCCTCACACCCAGACCCTGCGCCCCAGCCAGCTGGCGTCTCCGCCTCCCTTCCTTTGTCTCTCCCCCTGGGAAGAGCAGCGTTATCTGCTCATGCTGGGACTAGGGCTCTGGGCCAATCCACGTGTGGGTGAGTCGGTGGGAATCACACATCACAGCGCAGGGGGACACCGGGTTACAGAGCAGACAGCCCCCCCACTACGGCACAGCCTTCTTGCCCAGTTCTCCCCACGAGGGCAGCCGTACATCCAGCCCTGCCCCCCACCCGCCCGCTCCACGGCAGCCAGAAAGAACCTGGGCTTTGCAGTGAGCCCAGAAGGTTATACCACGGCCGTGGCAAACCGAATGGGGGTGAGGTCCAAACCTAAGGGAATGCCTTGCCCACAGCTCCTGGCCCGGTCTATCGAGGGGTCTCCGCTGCAGGGCCCCCTGGATCTGAGCCAGCAAATTTCAGGTCCTGAGCCACTGAGAGCTCGGAGATTAAAGCCAACCCAGTGGGAGGCAGTACAGCCCCTGGGGTGGGGTGTGATGCCTCTGCACCTCCAAGCAGACTGTAGCCTTTGGTGCTCGCTTTCACCCTGTGTGATGTAGTGGGGGGTACCTTGCTGGTTGCTATGCTGGGCAGTGCGTTGTGAGTGACCTCTACTGGCTGCTGGCTGCAGCACGGTCCAGCAGGGCAGAGGATGAGTCATTATGCAAGGGGGCTTCGAACCTGTCTGACGAGTTATCTCCCAGGAAGCGGAAGAAGGGGAGTGGAGCCCTGGCTGGGGGCAGGGCTGGAAGTGAGTGAGTTAGTGTCTGTCTGGGATCATGGAGGTTACAGCCTAGGGAAAGGGGCTGGAATTTAGGGGCCCAGGCTCCCCCATCTCAAGGGGGGCTGAGGCATCCTAGGCCTGCCCTGGAACCAGATTACATCTGTGCTGTGCTGAATCCTGGAGAAGCAATAAACTCCCTCTGTTCTACTGGCTGGTGGAGTCTGTCCATGCCACTACAGGGGTGCAGGAGACAGGAAAACCCCAACGCGGGAGGAGGTTTCGCCTGGTCACACTCCCCCTCCCAGGCTCAGGTTACAAAAAGCATCAGCCGCTGCGTACGCACAGGAGGCTGTCACACGGAAATTCCCATCATCGTCTCACTATTGGTGCTGTGCCCAGGGAAACTGAGGCACTCACAATTGGGGTTACTAAAGGGCAGTAGACATCGCATTTAACATAACTGAGTGAACAGAGTGAATACAATGCCCCCTTCCGTAGGACTGGTCTGAGGAGAGCCCCGGGATACGCAGGCTCTGGCGGGGACCCAGGGGCGTAACCGGAAATTCCCATCATCGTCTCACTATTGGTGCTGTGCCCAGGGAAACTGAGGCACTCACAATTGGGGTTACTAAAGGGCAGTAGACATCGCATTTAACATAACTGAGTGAACAGAGTGAATACAATGCCCCCTTCCGTAGGACTGGTCTGAGGAGAGCCCCGGGATACGCAGGCTCTGGCGGGGACCCAGGGGCGTAACCGGGAACAGCCTCTCCCCAGGCCGTGTTATACGCACACCATGTGTAGCACCCCTAGTTCTCCGCCCCCCTGGCCTGGCAGCTGCACTGCCCCTTGTCCCACCGCTGAGGCGCAGGCTGGCTGCAGCACAGAAAGGGTTAAAGCGGGGCTCCAGCAGTTGTGGCTCAGGCAGCCACTGGCAGCGCTGGGCTGAGTCCTGCCCCTGCTGCCGAGCTCGCTTATTGGGCAGCAGCACATGCGGAGGGGGGGGGGAGTGGCCCTGGGCTCCCAAGACTGGGAGGAGGAGCCTGGCTGGGATCCCGCCCCCCGCGCCCTGACCTGCATCCCATGCCTCAGCATCCTGCCCAGGCACCTGGTTTGGGGCACCCCCTAGGCTCCCAAGGGAGCCCTGCTGGGGGGCAGTGGAGATGCCTGATGCCAGCCCCTGGCTCTCCGCCCCCTGGGGCTCTAGCGAGGCCCAGGAGCTGGGCACCCCAGAAAACTCAGCTGAGTTTGCTCCCTGCACCCAGGGGCCTGGCCCCCCATCTCAGCCGCTCACCCCCCCAAGGAGGCAGGCTGCTCTTACCAGTCTGGCTGCATCCCCAGCCAGGCCCCCCTGTGCAGGAGAGAGCCCCTGGCTAGCAGCTGTGTGGGGGGGGGCGCGCTGGGGCCATTATGGACACATTATAATAAAGCACATGAGCACCTCTCAGGGCAGAGTCCTGTAACTCCCCCAGGAGTGAATTCCTGTTGCCACCCCAGAGCCCACTGGGTCCTTCCACCCCCCCAGAACCCGCTGGGTTCTTCCACACCCCCAGAGCCTGCTAGATCCTTCCACCCACCCACCCAGAGCTTGCTGGGTCCTTCTATGCATTATGGACACATTATAATAAAGCACATGAGCACCTCTCAGGGCAGAGTCCTGTAACTCCCCCAGGAGTGAATTCCTGTTGCCACCCCAGAGCCCACTGGGTCCTTCCACCCCCCCAGAACCCGCTGGGTTCTTCCACACCCCCAGAGCCTGCTAGATCCTTCCACCCACCCACCCAGAGCTTGCTGGGTCCTTCTATGCCCCCAGAGCCTGCTGTGTCCTTCCACCCTCCTCCCCCTAGAGCCCGCTGGGTCCTTCCACCGCACCCAGAGCCCGCTGGGTCTTTCTATTCCAGTGCCTCACCATCCCTCTGGGCAGGGCCCCGCAGGCTGGAGCGATGATTCCTCCATCACGGAGCCGCTCTGCTCTCCTGGCCGCGTTTCCAATGGGCACCTTTGCTTGTCGTTGCAGTTTAAAAGGATGCTGAATAGGGAACTGACGCACCTCTCGGAAACCAGCCGCTCTGGCAACCAGGTGTCCGAGTACATCTCCAGCACCTTCCTGGGTGAGTAGCAGGGCTGGGGGATGCCATGTCGTCCTGTGCATATCCCAGGTGTGCCCCATCCACACACTTCCCGGCAGGCAGTGCGGTGTCTGGAGTTGAAAGACCAGTGCAAAGCTGGGGGGGGAGCAAGAGCCGGCGATTTTCTCCTGTGCTGCACTGTCTTAAGAACATAAGAATGACCAGACTGGGTCAGACCAAAGGTCCATCTAGCCCAGTCTCCTGTCTGCCGACAGTGGCCAGTGCCAGATGCGCCAGAGGGAGGGAACACAACAGGGAATCCTCATGTGATCCCTCCCCTGTCACCCATTTCCAGACAAAGAGAGGCTAGGGACACCATTCCTACCCATCCTGTCTCATAGCCATTGATGGACCTAACCTCCATGAATGTATCTAGCTCTTTTTTGAACCCTGTTAAAGTCCTGGCCTTCACCACATCCTCTGGCAAGGAGTTCCACAGGTTAACTGTGCGCTGGGTGAAGAAAAACGTCCTTCATGCTGCGTCCATCCCCGCGCCCTCCATCGTGTGCTAAGAAAAGGGACTAGCTCCAGCCACGTGCGGAAGCCCCTTGTCCTCTACTCCATGAATGTATCTAGCTCTTTTTTGAACCCTGTTAAAGTCCTGGCCTTCACCACATCCTCTGGCAAGGAGTTCCACAGGTTAACTGTGCGCTGGGTGAAGAAAAACGTCCTTCATGCTGCGTCCATCCCCGCGCCCTCCATCGTGTGCTAAGAAAAGGGACTAGCTCCAGCCACGTGCGGAAGCCCCTTGTCCTCTAAGGTTTTCCTAGATGGGGCTGTGGCGCCGCATTGGGTTCCCCCCAGATCCTGCACCCCGTTTCCAGCAAGATGAGACTCCGCCAGCCAGAAGAGGGAGGGTTTATTGCTTCTGCAAGGTACAGCGCAGCCCGGGTTCTATGTGGGCATGGAAGTGAGGAGCCAGGCAGCCTCAGGGTCCCGAACCCCCAGTCCTCAGCTTAGGCTCTTCTCTTCATGTTCCCCCCCGACCAACTCCCCAGCTCCCAGGCCCTGCCCCGTCCTGGTACATGGAGAGAGACCTGCCTCCGGAGCATCAGGTCTCCAGGAGGAGCTGGCCTGATTGGCCTTCCTCCCCCTTTTAGCTGAAGTTTGCCCGGGGGCCGCCTGCCCTTCCCCTAGCCCCAGCCAGTTAACCCTGGAAAGTCTCCGGTTGTGGGACCTGTCCTGGTGCCTGGTGCGCTGAGCCCTCTTGTGGCCTCTTTGCCTGCAGCGATGGCAGGTTAGGCCCTGCGGGTCCCTTCGGGCTGGTTCCATCCGGACCCTGGCTGTCTCTCTGGGGGGCGGATAGCTGGGCCCTGTCTCTTGGGCTCGCCCCATAGGTGATTTCCTCCATTGCTCAGCTGAGAACCGGTCTCTGCGTGATTCCGGGACTCCCATTCACACCTGGACTGGCTGTCCGTGAACTCATCCGCCAGCCTCCCGGCATCCTGGGGGTCCTCTGGCCTTCAGTCCCTGAGCCACAGCCTCAGGATGGGCGGGCACGCTTCATAGAACTGTTCCAGGATCATCAGCTTAAACAGGTCCTTTGCGGTCTGAGCCCTGTACCCAAACACCGACTTGCAGCTTGTCTGGCGCCAGGCAGGAGACCATAACCACATGGGTTTCCCTTGGCTCTTTCTACACTCCCTGGAACTTCTTCCTGTACGTCTCAGGGGTCAGCCCGAACTTGTGCAGCAGGGCCTCTTTGACCCGTTCGTAGTCACCTTGCTGCTACGGGGGTGCAGGCTCGGGGGGGATCCCCAATGCGCCCTCACAGGGGCAAAACCCTGGTGGAACACAGAGAGGGACTGGTGACTGTGGTGGAAGAGGGCTTTGTTTCTGATGCGATTGGGTGTGATCAATGCAGGGCGGGGTGTGTTTGCAAAGCGCCCAGCACAACGGGGCTGGGGGTGGCCGCAGTCGGAGGGGATACTGATGTTGGCGGAGCGAAGATGCCACACCCCACAACGCCACGTCAGGCAGGTCGGGAAGTCGTGTGACCCAGCACTAAACAGACCGGGCGTGTCACAATCTCCAGGTGCAACCGCCCCAAATGAGCCAGAGCAGGAAGAGCTAAATGGCTCTTGGCCCCAGAGAAGTCCTGCGTGGATTATGCTGTTTTCCAGAGAAGCCAACGCGCCGATAAAAAGACACAGGCCTGATTCCCTGCGGGGGTGGGTCAGCACGGCACAGACGCAAGTCGGAGCTGTGCCAGCGAGCTCTCGCTAAGGACATGACCCGATCAGGATCCCGCCGTGGGGCTCAGCCCCATCCTGGGCGTGTCTCTTGTAAACACTGCACTGCCCGGGTGTCTCTGGAGAAAAACATGTTTGAAAATCTGCCCCCGCCCCATGCCAGGCTGGAAAAAAGCACCGGTACGGCATTTCCTGGAGCCGGCCGGGGGATAGACACGCACACCGGCTGTCCTTTAAAATGGATTTTACTGGGCTGTCTTCTTTAGCGCAGTCCCCAGCGCTCAGTAAGAGAGTTGCTCCTCCAAAAGCCCTAAGGAAATCGGTGCAAACTAAAATCTCCTGCAGACGGCGACTTGTTTAGACGAGACGCCCACGGGAAGTACAATAGGGACATGCCCCTTGATTTATGTGTAATTGGATGGTCCAAGTGAGCCAAGCCGCTGTTTGTCGGTCAGGGCGCACTGTGACTCTTGTGGAGTTTTGTCTGATTTTGCAAGCACGTCCTTTTGACAGGAGGTGAAACGTGGGGGGCACAGGGCAGTCCGACTCCGGACGGGGGGAGAGCTGTTGGACAGGATGAGAGCCAGACGCTGCTTTAGATCTTCCTCCGCAGCTTAGTGGGGGCGGTAACATCTGGACACCATAGCATGGCCGGGGGTTCGACGCCAGCACTGCCCTACAGCTACGGCAGCTGGGTGAGCTGTGCCTGCAGAGGGGTACGGGGTCCCTCCCCTGGCAGGCCAGTTCGTTATAGAAGCCCTGTCCCGCATGGGCTGGGATGTCTCCGTGCCTCACTGCTGACCGGCGGTAATGAGAGCTGCCCTCCGCGAGGCCTGAGAGCCAGCGCCCAGCTCCCTCCGGCTCTGCAGCGGGCTCTGGCTGAGCACGGCGGCCTCCCTTCTTCCCAGTGGCGGGTGTGACGGCGCATCGGGGCACCCCAACCCTGCACCCCTGTCTGCAGCCAGATGTGAGTCTGAGTCAGGCCGTAGAATAGAAGGTTTATTTGCTTCTCAGAGATCCAGCGCTGCCACTGGAGCCAGGGCAGAGCCTTAATTCTCTCGGGGGAAAGGGGTTCACAGGCCCCTGAACCCCCCTGTCTGCTCTCTTCGTGCGTCCCTCCACCAAGACAGCCCCTGCTCCCAGCTCACAACACTCATCCCCCCAGGGAGCCACAGTCCTTTGTTCAAACTCCTTCCCCTGGCCAGGTGTGACGTTGCGAGGCCATGGCCTGCGTGCCTCCGTGACGGCGTGTCGGAGAGCCCCCCAACCCTGCACCCCCGTCCGCGGCCCTCTCTGCCAGACAGCAGAGTAAAAATGGGTTTATTGCTTCTCCAAGATACAGCCCAGTGTAGGTTTGATATAGGCATGGGATAGGCCAACAGCCCTAGTTCCCTTGGGGGGAAGGGGTTCACAGGCCCCTGAACCCCTTATACTGGTTTTTATTCTCCTTTCTCCATCGTCCCCACACTCCCAGGCTCTGCCCCCCAGCCGGGTGTCCGTCTCCGCCTCCCTTCCTTTGTCTCTCCCTCTGTTAACTGCTCAGGCCAATCCACATGTGGGTGAGTCAGTGAATCACACCTCACAGCGCAGCCAGGTGGGGACCCCGGGTTACAGAGCAGACAGCCCCCCACGACGTCACAGCCTCCCCTCAGGGACTATCCCCCGCTGGGCAGTGCACACAGACACGCACAGTCTCTGCAGACCAGCATAGGGCAGTCGGGGTGACACCGCTCAACGCAGCAACCAGTGGGTGCCAAACCAGACAGGATCCAGGGCCACAGGAGTGGATAGCTCCCCACATAGTCCCCCACTATGTCACACTCCCGGTGATCACAGCCAACTGAATATTTTTTAATTTCCAAATTTTGGTAAGGACAGACATCACTGACCCAAGGAGGGTAGTGTGGTGGCTGTAAGTTGACTTAATATAGGTCAACTTCGATTTGTACTGTAGACTTACCCTTTGTCGGTCAGGGGTCACCCACTCCTGGGAGAATTCTGTACCACTGCACACCTGCAGATTTCATGTTCTCCAGAGATATTTTTCTTGGCAAAACAGAGATTCTGCTTGGGAGATGCTGCAGTTACACCTGTCACCCACCACGATCTCTCCTCTCTCCTTAACTACTCCAACCCACATGAGCAACAGTAGCTATATGCACAGGAGAGGCTTTCCCACTCATGTAGCATGGCAGTACTTAACTGGGTGTAACTAATGGTCACTGGGCGGAGGGGTTATTCACACCTCTGAGCAACATAACTTATGCCAACATAAGCTTAGTGGTTACATAGCCTAACACAAGCAATTTATGGCCAAACTCATAGTTGTGGGAAGAGTAGATTTAGGGGGTGTTGCAGCACGCTCAAGTTTTGGGCCAGGTGTCTTCAACACTGGCCCACCTTTGGAGTTCTGGCCACTGGGCCAGTGCCACTGGGGTCCCAGCCACCAGACCCACACCTAGGATTTCACAGTCACCTGCCAGCTGTGGCCCAAGGCTGGGGCAGTGAGGGCCGTGGACAGGTATAAAGGACAGGTATAAAGGACACATGCTGTTCCCGGAGCAAGCCAGACTCACGGGAGCTCGGGGTGTGCGCAGATAGCCACGTGGACAGACCCGGGAGCTTTGCCGACGCACAGAGCTGGGATCCCCAGCTCAAGGAGACGTGTGCACGCTGGCTCTGCTCCAGCCGGTGCATTCACAGTGGCGAGGACTCGCCGGGCTGAGGATGTACCCCGGGCCGCTGGCCACGTGGCCACAGTCGGAGCTAGTGTGGCGAAGGCGCCGCCAGCCCAGAGTGCAGACGCCGGCGGAGTGAGAGTGAGTTTGCCAGGAACTGCCAACCAGGGGACCCCAATGCTTACGTCAAGTTGAGGAGCGGCTCTGGCCGTTCCTTATGCCACCCGCTCCTTCGCCGGCCCTGGTGAGCACGGAGCAATTGCTGCATGGCGCCGCGGCAGCCACTGACCCACGCCGTGGGTATGAAAACCCCACCAGGTAGACACACAAAGCAAAACAGCAGGAGCTTTTGGGTGCCTGGCTACAAGGGCCCGACGCACCAGGCTGTAAGAGGGTCGTGAGAGCTGTGGCTAATCACCATTGGACCAGCTATTGGTCAGGCTGAATCTGATACAAGCCAGGCAGGGGATGGGGGATGGTGAATGGGAGATTTAAAGCAGCTGAGAGTTTCCCTGTTCTGGAGTGGGAGGCGGGGGGAATCCCAGCCCCCCTCGTTGTGCTTTGGGAGCAATGTGATGGGGATGACAGGCTGCGCCCCAGGAAATGCTCAGCGAGAAGCAGCCGCCTCCCATTTGCTCAGATGTCACGGCCAGTGTTCCCTGTAAGCTGGGCGCTTGTGCGGCCGCGCAAGAGAGATTCTAATGGCGCCCAGTTGATTAGCAGAACACCCACCGCTCGGTTTGTGTTTTTCCTTGTGGTGCACATTCCAACACATCTGGGGGCACATAGCAACATGTATTCCGCACACGGATGGAAAAACCGAGAGGGAACAGTAGTCACAGGGACAGGGCCGCGATGCCCAGTGTTTGTGGCTGGGATGGAGCTGGGAGCTGGATGTCCATCGGGCGCCTTCTGGCCCCAGAGATCTCACGCAGCCCTGGTGCCCGGTGCGGCATGGGGCAAACGAAACACCCTGCCCTTTCCAGAGACCCAGTGCTGCCCCGGCGAATGCAGCGACATCAGAACTACTGACTGGCCTGCCCCCG